CCGTCCTGCTGGTCAGGTGAAATTTAAATAATTTAAAGTTAATCGGCTGCGGTATTAGGTCACTGTTATATGAGTTAATATACTTATACACGTTTCGGTTTTCATCAACAGAATAGGTAGCATACTTCAAAATACTTTACCATAATTTAAACGTTATTTGCTATTAAACTGAGAAATTCAACGTTTCGGAATATTCGTGCAGAAATCGAGCACGAAATATGAATCAGAATTATTGAAATGATTATGATCATGGAAAATTATTCAAGAAATTTGAAAATTTTAATATTTTTAGCGAAAAAACATTAATTTGTTTTTATGTATTATTCTTTATTTGTATGCAGCATTAGAATGAACTGGTATATTGAATTTGAATTGAAAATTTGGAAAGTTGTGTTTACACGTATATTCTGAGAATAATTGTAGAATATATTCGTTTGTGTTCTTGAAGTAATGCCTATTATAAATACACATTGATGTTTCATCAGTACTTACATTCTCATTCTCCTAGAAAGGAATGGACCAAATATAATTTCAATGGTTTCTGACTGATTTTGCTGTTTTTTAAAGTTTCTCTCTTATGACCGTTCTGAAGCTTAAGCCAGTTTTCCAAAGATCTTTTCTAAGATTCGCCTGGTTAGTTCCGAATAATAGCGATTATCATTCCAAAATCGAATACCGTTGAATCGTTTCAATCATCAATCAGATGCAATCTACGAGAAACCTCAGAAATTTTTTATATTTCAGTTTATTCAGTGTTAGGCATATTTAGAAATTGAGTAGAAACTTAATTCGAAAAGCTCTTTATGCACTATGCAGACTCTAACTTCAAATTCAATTCACGTCGGATTTTATGAGAACGTGATTTTTGAATGTTCAAAAAAATTGACAGGGCCTCGTTAGAATGAATTGTACAATATCATAACAATTTATATAGTCATGGATATGTCCAGATACGAAACTCAAATCTTATCAAAACTCTACAACAGGCTATGGAGAAGACCGGCCTGGTGATGGAAAATAAGCAGATTCCGACATCACAGCAAGTGGCCTCTTGTACCGCCTTCATTACCGGTATTTCTCAAGAAGTTCAATGAATAGGCGTATGCTACCAAACGTTTGAAATATAAAAATAAACTTTAATGGTTCGTTCTTCCGGCTCTGTGACATTTGTTCACGATATTTCTATCAGAGGCCTGAAATATGGAAGTTTTCCAAATATTAGAAATAGATTAGGATATTTGATACAAGTGTATGGTTAATTAGGATATCTGTAGAATTTTTCTGAAAAATTTAAATGGTTATTGAATTTGATAATTCAGTTTTTGATGAGTTTGTTGTTATCAATAATGTGAACAATTCTAACCACATTTTTTAACTTTATAACAAAAAAATTGCACATTAACCGGTTTTGTCTTTAGTTTGGTGAAGGTTTATCACCAGGAAACAAAAGTGTCAAATTATGACTAGCACTGCAGTTATTTGAGAATAGTCTCATTTCTAATGAGTGGTCGACGAGAATATATTCAAAACTTTTAGTTTTTCTCATAAAAATTGAAATAATGATCGAATTTCATAAATTTTTTCTTCATGCGTTTAGTGTTTTCGAACATTTGAACAATTCTAACCACATCTATTAGCTTTATGATAAAAAATGTTCCATCAACCGTTTCATATTTATTTTGGTGAAGGCTTCTCTCCAGGAAGAACAAAAGTGTCAAATTACGACCAGCGCTGTGTTTATTTGTGAATAGTCTCATTTCTAATGAGTGGTCGGCGTGAATATATTAAAAACTTCTGTCAACTTCTGCAGGTCAGTAAATCATCAATGATAAGGGCTCAGGGCCGTGGGAATACGCATATGTTTGTCCTCTCATTGGCGCTGACATAGGGATTCAAAGTGCTTGGGCAAACAGTGCGGAGGTCTCTTAAAGAACATATCATTTGCTTTGAGGTAGAAAAATAAGAAATCTTTTTCGAGAGGCTGGCTCAGCTTGTACTCAACCATCAAGTATTGTCTTTAACCTCGGGCAAGATCAATGTTTAATGTTGAACCTGATCTTCGTCTTGAGTATGGCTATAAATAGATTTGAACGTTTAGGTAAATAATGCTCATGATTTTGTTTAAACAGATTATTTTATAAATAAATGGTTATTACGTCGACTGTGTTCCTTTCATAATTTATAAAATTATTTGTAAATTATATGGCATCATCTAACCAAGGTTCATTTGGTTTTTCGTAGAACACAAATTTATTTTCATGATAACATGTTACCAAATCAACATCACAATCATGATCATATATTATAGCAATCATTTTCCTCGAAAAAAAAGATACATTACAAAATATGTGTTTTATTATAATACATATTTATATTTTTCATGATTTGTCCTATATTATATAATACCGTTTTAGGTTATTACTATCCACCTTAGCTTGATGATTGTATCTATAGGACAGGAATTTTTATATCAGTTACGGAATTCTTTTTTCAAATTGTTTTTTCTTCTTGAAAAATATAACTCACTTTGACTTACGATTTGTATTAGCCAGACGTTTTAATCGAACTTTGAGTAACTGAAAATTGATATTTGGCATTCTATGGAATGTTTTACAGTGATCATTTAATCCCACAGTTTGACACTAGCAACTGCAATAGGAACTACAACATGAATTCTCCTTTATATTCTAGTCATAAAAACGAGTTATGAAGCCATCAATGTATTGAATGATGGAATGAAGAATTTTTAGTTCATCGTTCGGAATCATTAAGCAACATTAAAGTGGCAAAATGCCGTGAGAGCAATTGTATCCAAATCTCGGCCTAATTCAAAACCAGATTTTTATGACTCTTCAGAAGAAAACAGTTATGCGGAGAGAGAATGGAGTTTCTTCGGTTCTGTTTGGTGGTACTGACCTCAGGCGAGTCGAGTTTGCAGCGTGGATTTTTATGTCTGATACATTGTCGTCTACACATATTTGAACGGTCAATATTTATGCACTTTGTATTCTTAGACAGGGACGTTCTCTTCATTTATTAAATATTTATTTGTGGTTCGGATTTTATAAATTCTTTTGCATGCATTCGTTCATTGTCTTCATGAAAAATTTTATATTTCGCGACCTTCAACTGTCTTGTACACTGCTATTATGGCAGGTAATTGTTTTGGAAGTAAATAACTTCCGCTCAATGAGTTCTTCAATTTTGTTCGGATAATTTTGAAATTCGTAAGACCAGGTAAATTATATAGCATTAGGTATGTTATGTATTTGTTTTCTTCCTGGTAATGATGAATGAAATGGATGGGTATTTATATATTTTTATAAATAATTGCATCTAATGAATATTTATTCAAGGATTAAAATTTGGTGAATAGCAGAAAAAGTTTTATGAATGAGTGAATCAAATTTTTTCACTAAAATAATTTTTTCTCGATTTGAATATATTACTGAAAATGCCTGCTATTGAAAATCAGTAATTATACATTTCCAAATATATATAGTGATTAATATTATTATTATTAGTGATTAATATTCTGCAATGGCAGAATATTTCACCAGACCTGTTTCACAGATTGATGATGAGTGCTATCATCATTAATATCTTTAACAGTTAACTATAATATTCAAGACTTGATAGTTTTGGAATATATCATATGAATCCCTGAATCTGAATTTTAAACCTGTTTTTTTTGAGTTCATATTACCGTTTCTTTTTTCTGGGAGTAATTTATCTAGAATAAGAATCTCAGTTGATCGAAATGCTCGCAAACTAATAATATTCAGAATTTTTTGAGTATAATGAGATAGAATCCTCGACGTATGGTTTCGAAATTTTATCCAATTATTATGCACTGAACTCATTAATGTAGAAAAAAATGGGAAACTATGGATTTACAATAAGTTTAGACTGATTATACTTTGTTCACTCGGGAAATAACTATTGAATATGTTCTTCTTGAACTCCAGTTCACAATGATTTATTTTTGTTCAATTTATTAGATGAATTTAGAACGAAATATATTCAATTAATATTTCTAATGAAACTATAAAAAAGTATATATTTCTTTTGGGAAAAATATTGGATACATCAATTTACAGATCTAAAAAATAAATGCGTACAAATCGAAGAAATTATTTCTCTGGATAGTTTTCCTTCTGCATGAAATAATTTATATTTCCAGTTCACAAATGAAAATTTGTGTTACACAAGTTGATATTTTCAGTGAAATATACTTTGAGAAGTTGTTCATTCTTTTGAAATAATTTTCGTTATTTTATTTTCCAGATTATCATGATTTTATGACATGTTAAATTCATTTTTTGGAATTGTCCAAATTTTACCTATGTATTGTGGAAAAAGGAAAATACTCAGTGAATTATTTTTACTTTGCTTCAGAAATAGTGATTTTACAAGTTTTTAAATTAAATCACTACAAATTTGATGATTTGACTCGTTCAGAGTAAATTTTATCACAAATGAAATATATGAATTATTCACATAGTCAATGAATAATTTGAGGAATATCATAATTCGGTTAATTAAATTTAAAAATTGAAAAAATCGATCCTGATATCTTCTATACTGGAGAAGTAGAATAAGGAAATTATTCACCAATTGATGTTTTCCAATAAAAATTATTACATTTTTCAATCTTTGTTAAAAATGAAATATAGAAAAATATTTACTCTAGCTCGTTTTCAATACATTATTTTTTTATTTCTTGAGATGAAATTTCAAATAATTAAAAATTGCCTGATTATTTCCAATCTGACTTCTACACATTGCAGTTTTTCGTAATAAAATGTTTCCACAATGTTGCAATGACACTGAAAACACTTGTGAAGTGTGATAATAAAAAAACATAAAATTCGGGCACATCACTACTTCCGATGTCGGTAGTAAGAAATTCCATCGACCAACCCCAAAATCTACCACTTCAGCACTTCACACCTTATCACTTGCAAGAGGAAGTTCATTCCACTCTTCCCCAAACTTACCTCAGCGAGATGCAGTGGAATCAAAAAAAAATCAGGCGAAAACCTCGAATGGCACTGTTAAGTCCGGGCAAAGCAGGCGATCACTAGTACCACTGGCGAAGTTACTGAAGTGCAGACTGTTCACGAGTACAGGATGAGATGCGTCCTGCGACATGCATCCAGGAACGCGAGAGATCAAGTCGACGGGCGGCCGGCGAACAAGAAATAAACTCGTGCGATTCTGTGCTTCGCAACTTTAAATAGTTGCCGGGCGGGGGAACGACGACTCTTAGCTCTTGGGCAACGAGTCTTTGCAGTACGGTTTCATTGGCTCGGGTCGCCTCAGGGCGAAGAAGAAGTTCGGTGGAATGCACACGTTAGAGGACACGGCCGCGACCACGAATTTCTGGCGACTTTTAGTCATTGGAGCGATGATGCTATTCTCAGCAGGAGCGCAAAAAGTTGAGGATGCTCGGTTCTTCATTATGTGATTACGAAAAGTCACCGGCATGACGGAACTTTTTTTAAACTTTTTGTCACGCAATGCTGAGATATACAGGATGTTCAAGAAATTTACTGATTAACATTGAACTGAAAAATATGTAAATAGGAAATGATAAAAAAGCATATAGATATTTCCTAGGAACACGCTCTCCAATTCACACAAAATACAGACCGTTTTTTACCTGTCCCACTATTAGTGTTTCTGAAATGGTAACGTACAAGTTTCGTTGAATTAGGCCTAATTAAAGGGACAATAAAATCATTGTGACTTCATAAGCGATTTTTGAGATATTTGTGAGGAACTAAAATGTCCTCGTTCAATGACTCTACTGCCTCCATTTTAAATGATGTGGAAAAAAAGAAGAAAAATATGTGCCGTTTCATATTTTCTATGACCCGATATGAACCAATTTTTGATATCATTTATCGGAATCGATCAGAACTTTTTTCAATACAAATATCTTGTTTTTCATCAATTTAAGTAGCAACAACAAATGCACTTCTCGAGGTTTCTCTTTGAAAAACAGCATCGGCCAGGTTTAACAAACAAAGATTTCTCGAAAAAGTAGAGACTGATATTCTTCTCATCTGGAAGTCGAAAACACACATTGTCTTTGAAATATCCCTTGGAAATTTGCAGGTAGATGTGAACATTCATGTGATAGGACACAAGTGTTGTTTGGAAACCAATTATCACCACAAATTCGGACATGTATCACGTATTTGTGATCGTTTGTATTGTAAGAAACGAACTATTCCAATGGGAGTTTCAATTTTCTATTACTGTAACAGGGAGGCGACAAAAAATCCGTATCGAAAAATTGGATCATACTAATGAAGAAAGAAATGAACATCAAAATATGTACACAGCAGAAATAAGTGTTCGAAGTCCATAAAAATTTATTTTTGAACAGTATTTGTGCACTGTGAAGAACTCTGAGAAATGCATAGGAATTCCACATCTACCACCAAATTAGCAAAAGATATATGAGTTGAAGTATATTTTCGAGTTCTAGATAACCAGAATATTTGTCTCTACTTATTATGACCTGACACAGATGATGTTTTTCTGAAGAGAATCGCTAAATAATACATATGTTCTAAAACATAGTTGATTTTGTTGAGATAGTCACTGAAATTGATGAAAAAACTGTATACGTATTTGAAAAAAAGGTGATGATGAAATCTAATTAACCAAACGTCGAATTGAAAATTGATTCATATCATAACAAATATAAGTATCATAAATCGTTTCTGTTTCAGTATCATGTTACCTGAAAAGAAGGCGTTAGAGAAAATAAACGGTCGGCAATTTTGTTTTTTTTGTAAAAACAACGGCCATTGATAATCAGGATCTGGAAAAGAATCCCCCCAAATATAAAACTTTTGTTTAATTCAATCAACCATGTAATCTAGTAGTAGGTACCATAATTGCTGAGAAGTACAGCATGGGACGGTAGCCTGGTGGGTTGACGTGGGTAATTTGCTTCATTCACTCAATCAACCACTGTGTGAACCGATAGTTCGAACCGCAATGCCGGACGATCGATTTTCACTTCCTATTGTCCAACCCGTGTTAGGAATCACACGTTTAAAAGTAAGACCTCGTTAGTGCTTAGCTCGCACAAGTTTCGACTTTGGAGAGTTATGGTTCGTAGGGGGGCGACAACTGGTTAACGAAAAAATAGATTTTAACAGAACAGATAAGAGAAAACGCTTTCGATTCAAAGTGACAGAATGATTTACGAATCACAAATACTCGTTTAAAATATTTAAATACCACAAGGTATTATTCATAATGGAAAGATCAGTTCATAACAAATTCCGAAGATGATACAATTTTTTCATCAAGTAGTAAAAACTTCGCCAAAGTTATGTGGAATTCTAGTAATTTTTTCCAAAAACAAATAAAAACAAATGAATTACCAAAACCATTATAGTATTGTTTCACTCAAGTAGATCCAGTCAGAATGTCCACCGACAATCAAAATAGTGGTAAATGATACCACTATACTACTACTGATAAAGTTTAGCCTGATGAGAACACATAAAAAATATTCGTGAGACTCAACAGTGAACTTGTTTTATGCTATAAAATCAGACATGAAATATTTTCAACCGAATTCACTGAAAATAATAAATTTCAAATTAACCACAAAGTTTGAAATTTCGTCATGAAAAACAGTCAGAAATTATTTGTTCAATTGAATAATACTGAAAATACGTTTTTCAGCTTTCCTTAAATCGCGAAAAACAAAACAAAAATGTAAGAAACTATCGAAAATTATTTTTAAACTTTTTTATTCCGTGTTGAAATCATCGATTTCATTCTTTATGTTTTTACTTTCAATATTAAAAATGTAGATCATATTACTGAGAAATTGTTTGAATGATATGGCCGCGACCACGAAATTTTTTGGTTAGCGGCTTCGTATCAGTGCGATGATGCTGTTCTCAGCAGGAGTGCAAAAAGTTGGAGGACGTTCGGTTCATTATTCTGGGATTACAAAGAGTCACTGTCATGACGAAACGTTTGTAACTTTTTGTCACGCCTTTGTGTAATATACGGTACGTTTAACAAATTTAGTGAATAATTGAATAGAAATGGCCGATACTTGATGAAAATCTATATCAAAACTGATTAATACATTTTATTCTATGATTTTCATCGTAAAGAGTTTTACAAAAACCGCGACACGTGTTTCGCTATACAATATTAACACTTGAGGAAGCTATTGTATAGCGAAACACGTGTCGCGGTTTTTGTAAAACCCTTCATAGTGAAAATCATACAATAACTGTATTATTGAGTTTCAGTGAATAACATTGAAATACAAGTTTTTGCTCATAGCATGCTATCCAATTAACTCAATGAACAAATTGTTTTTCCTACTATTGCTATTTCGGAATAAATTTTTTCTTGATCGCGACAATCAATGACTGTATATAAGATATTCATAAAAAACTAAAATTGCAGAAAGCTTCCTAGGCTGATGCTTCATATTTGAAATGACCTGGTATAAACCAATTTCCATGCGACGTTTCGTTGGATTCCGTCATCAATTTCTATCTGCCATCTAGCACAAAATATGTATTTCCTGACGTTTCTCTTCGGAAAAGACCATCGGAATGTTTTATCCAGTCTGCCACTAATATTATTTCTATCTAGAAGATGAACATTAACGGAAAAATATGTTTAAAAAATCTGCAGGTAGACGTGAAACGTCACATTGAAAATTGGTATATCATGGTATTTTGAAGAAACAAATCCTCGGAAAAAATCTCCACTTGAAATATATAGATTAGATAGTGAAGGAAATGACACTTCAGAAGTTTCTCACATTTGAATGTATAAGAATAAGAAACTAATCTGTTCCATTTAATCTTTTTCATTTTGAATGCAATTTTTACGGCTGGTATTGATTCAACTGACCGTATAAATGTTTTCACTAACCGTCATTATGACTGGAACAGAATTGTTCTTCCGGTGACAAAGTCGAAATTTTATGAACTTATCGGTAGTTATGTTGTATATATATATTTCAAAAAAATTTCAATTTAGTTAATTTTCTTTTTTTTTCACGTTTCCCACATTTTTTTGTATAATGATGGAGGAATATGAAGACAAACAGTTTTTCCAAAAAAAGAATTCCCCTTTCAATTCAAGTGACATTCAGATTACGATTGTTTAGTTAGTTTACGAAATCTTGAGGTTCAAATTCACAGAGGTATATATACATAGATAGGTGATACAGTCATATGCCATGTTCGTCTTTATCTTGGGAAGATTATTAGAAAGATTATTTTCTGCGATAATGAATATAAAATCAATTATTCGTCGTTATCTTCCTGGCGTATTAATTCATTTACGATTTTATATCAACATGTTAAAATTAACAGTATTTTTGAAAGCATATATGAGTACATCTGATTAGAAATAGATACTAATAGTTTGAACAATATATCAATAATGAATTTTGGATTGAAAATAATTCAAAAATACAAAAAAGTCTCAGATATGCAAAAAATGGATCTGCTCAAATGCAGGAACAGAGTAAAATAAAAATAGTGCAATTGTGAAAAAATATATTTTTATGGTTATGATATCAGGATGCCAATCTTCCGTTCACTATGACTGTCGTTGCTGAATGAGGTCTGGAATTTCCTGTTTGAAATGTTTTGAATTTTGAGAGCTCAAAAGTACTCCGATTATTTTGTTATTAGTACTCATGTGTTAGTTGTTTCATTCAAGTATAATGTCTAGATTGGAAACACCGAATCACTATAGTATTAAAAAAGTTTACTTTAATCAGAAAATTTGTATGGCGTTCATAATAAAAAAAACAATATACTGTTAAAATCAGAAGCTCCAGATGAGGTGTTGATTATTAAGACAAATGAAATGTGTTAACGTGACGTCGAACAACAATCTGACTCGAGATGACACTGATGTGTATCGTGACGAATGAAAATATAATGTCCAGTTAAATTTAGGTAAGTTGATTGATTTATTGGGTCTCAATAATTTGTATATATGAGATTGAATTTGACGAAATGTATATTTATGCTTTGAGTTGTAACACCATGACCGAGCACCATCAAACTGGAAATTCCTGCCGTTCTTCAGCCCCAAGGTATCCGTAGGAATGACGATCATTTCGGACATTCTCGACTAAATAACCTTAATTTCTCGGAAGTATGGTAAATTTGTGTGGGATTTCACATGTAC